AGGGGTCGCTATGAGTCGGGTTTGACTCGACGGCACATAACAACAACAACAACAAATATTGCCAAGTTATTTTTCAAAGTGTTTGTAAATACAGACCTAATCAACCAACCAAAAGCCAAACCCACTGCCATTAAGTTGATTCCTACTCATGATAACCATATAGTACAAAGTAGACCCATAGGGTTTGCAAGGCTATAAATCTTTATGGAAGCATACTGCCACATCTTTCTCCCTTGGAGAGGCTGGTGGGTTCAAACTCCTTTCCTTTTGGTTACCAGCCAAGTGCTTTAACAACTGCACCATTAGGGCTCCTCAGAGACCTAATTTAAAAAATAAAAAAATAAAAAACTCACTGCCTTCAAGTCAGTGCCAACTCATAGCAACCCCCCTGTTGGGTTTCCAAAGTGGTATCTTTATGGAAGTACATTGCCCAATCTTCCTTCCAAGGAGTGGGTACATTTGAACTGCCAGCCTTCTGGTTAGCAGTCAAATGCCTTAGGCACTATGCCACCAGAACTCCCAGAGACCTAAGAAAGAGGTATAAATATTCTCTTTGCTTCGTAGACTCACCCACAGTTGATATTACAAATACACATACTCTTTGACCCAGCAGTTTCACTATAGGATGTTTATTCTATAAATTTAATTACATACACATACATGCACAAAATGATGTACAAATTTATTTATTGAAGCATTGTTTGTAGTAAAGATATTAGAAGAAACCCAGATTTCCTTAATAGAGGACTAGTAAATAATTTTTGGTCTATTCATTTATTTAGATTAATATGCATCTATAAAAAGTAATGAGGAAGATTTCTATGTACCATTAAATATACTAATTTACTAAAATATATTGTTAGGTTATAAAAAGCAAGGCATAGCACAGTGAATATAATATGATAACTATTACCTAACAAAGGAGCTCTGGTAGCATAGTGCCCAAGGTACTTGACTGCTAACCAGAAAGCTGGCAGTTCAAACCCACCAGCCACTCCTTGGAAGGAAGATTGGGCAATCTACTTCCATAGTGATACTGCCTTGGCAACCCAAGGAGGGGTCACTGTGAGTTGGGTCCAACTCGATGGCATATAACAACAACAAAACAACAACAACATTACCTAACAAAAGGAAAATTAAGAATATAAGTTCATATATATTTGTAATTGCCCAAAAGTGGTAATCTAGGGAGGAGATGGGAATGAGGCAGATGGAAACAAGGATGAGAGTAAGAAACCCCCCTTTTTGTATTGTTTAATTTTTATAACCATAAGAACTTACGAATTGATTTTAAAAAAAATTGAAAACAAGTGCTGCTCTGATAGGCATGGTATCTCAGTGTGGTTTTATTTGCGTTGCCCTCATTACTAGTGAGCTTGGTAAGCACATGTTTATTGGTCATTCAGGTTGACTTTTCTGTGAATTGCCTGTTTATGTTCTTTGCCCATTATTCTGTAAGATTATTTGTCTTACTCTGATTGATTTGTATAATTTCCTTATATATTCTAGATAATAATCTATTAATATTGACACCTATTTCAAGGCTTTCCTTCCACTTTGTTACTTTCCTAGAGGGCCTTTTGATCCTCAGAAGTTTTAAGTCATTAATCTTTCTTACTATGTTTCAGGCCTTAGCATATTGCTTTAAAAAATCCTCCTCTGCCT